AAAAGCCAATACAATACAAAACTACCAAATTGTAAACGTAGGCACGTCATTCATAAAGGTGACGTAAGGAAGCTTGCATTTAAGGCAAATTTAAGATGGATCTTTTTTCCTGTCAGCCTATTATATTAATTTTTACAATACCTTCAACTTGTTATGTACCTTTTTGTCTGTTTTTAGTCGCACCTTGTAGAAAATCATCGTGTAGACCGAGAACGCAATGTGTGGACCTCCAGCTATGAGGTGGGGACTAAGATGAGACCCACTCCAGTGGCAGCGGAACACCTTCAATTAAGGGGGCACTGCCGACTTTTGGTCCCATTCTTTCCATGCAACGCCCATAGGGTTAATATTAAAATGTCAAAATCAAAGGGGGGCACGGTGCCCCGGTGCCCTACCCGTTCCGCCGCCTATGAGTCCCGCTCCCGACAGATCCGGGAGCCGCACCTCTTTCCTTGCTTTCAAAAGAGCGGCAAATAAGCGGTCAGCATTGCTCCCAGAGACGCCACCTGAAGCTGGACGGACGACGGACAGTTCCGCTGCCGAGCGATTGAAGTTGAACTGCGGTGCTACGAGGCGGCTTCGCGTGCACTGCATTAGCACCTTCTAGCGGGAGTAAGAGGGCTAACGAACTCGCCAAGGCCTATATATGTAAAACATTGTGCAAAGGCGAGTGTCTTACCTTAGGAAAATACCTACCCAGATTAACTGCTGCACCGCGGTCATTGCAGGGCTGAGGGTACGTCGTTCGCTCCGCTTCGGCGAGGTGGAGGTCAGACTGCCCGGCTAGGTGGTTTTAGCCGATATGCAGGCCCCGTTTGCCGGGCCCGGTCGAGAAGAAGGAACGCCACACAGCAAAGCATATTTGCTCCGGGCCCGCTACACTGGTCCGGCTCGTAAGTCGTAACAAATTAACAATACCTGCGCTAGCGTCGTCGACCGTCGTTCGACTGCGCCCAGTACCGCTCAGTGGAGAGTCCTGCCGAACTCCTCTGCGTGTGCCCAGATCATTCGTTGCGCGCGGACACAATCGTCCGACGGAGACCGCTGTGCATTATGATCGGGTGGTTACCACCTTGGTCGCCGGCTTTCACACCCAGCCGAGCTGTCTGGCTACGCCCCAAATGATCGTCTAAGCCTTTCGATTAGTTTGTAACTCGGGTCTAATATCGAAATGTTTGGGAGTTAGGACATGTTAAATCCGTGTTCATGAACAAACATACATTATGCAACTAAAACGCTTTACTTACTTTAACTTTTCTAGGCTGATGACAAGGCATACATCTATTTCATTGCAATATTTCTAAAATGTAAATAAATCATGAGCAATGAGCATACAAAACAACAGCGATCCACTAGAAGCTAGTGTGGAAATCCACTGACGTAGGTCGCCTCGTACTGGCGCAGCTCGTAGCTCGTCCAGCAGCGCCAGCGTCTCCCGCACCCGGCCGCCCGCCTGCACCATCAGCCGCTGGAAATTGCTGCGCTGCCGCTCCAACATTAGCTTGACCGCCTGGCCGGCCCGGCGGATGCGCGCCGTCCGACGCACGCAGTGTACGTCTTCAACAGCGCCGGGATGTCGTACGACACGACCGCGTCCACGGCGTCCACGTCAATACCGCGCGCTATAGCCTCAAGCACACCAGCGCGGCCATCTCAGCTAGCGCGCGCCGCCGCCGGCACGCCGGCACTACCCCACAGAACTCAGTCACGCGCGCGCCCAGCACAGACAGCGGTAGCTCCAGCTGGTGCGCCACCTCGTTCCAGTTGACCAACACGAGCGAGCGTCGCCAGTCGGGCTGTCGGAGCAAATGGTGCATCAGCAGCGGCTTCAGCGGCTGCGGCGCCACCACGTTGAACGACTCGCTCAGCTCGGCCGGCGTGGTGAACCTGCCGACGAACTGACCGGGCAGTGCGACGGCGGCGGCCGCCGTGCCGACCACCAGCAGTCGCGGCTGGAACAGCGACATTCGCTCCAGCTTCTCCGGCCTCCGGGTTCTGTGACAGGGTGGCCAAGAATGGCAGCTTCTGAAGCGGCAGGTGAGGCGCGCAGACGGCGGCGGCCGTCAGCCGGCCGGCGATGCAGGGCGGCGCGCCGTGGCCGCCGCCACCCGCTCCACCGCTTTCAGCCAGCCCGTCTCGGCCATCTCGATCACCCGGTCGGCTTCGTCGATCACCAGGTAGCGCAGGTGCGGTAGCGAGAAGCCCTCCCTCGGCGCTGGTTATGTGATCCATCAGCCAGCCGGGAGTGCTCACCACGATCAGCCAGGGAGGCCGGGCCGCGCGGCCCCACCGCCACCAGTTGGCGCCCCCTCGTGCCACTGTGTCTCCACCCAGCAGCTGGACGCAGAGCGGCGTGTCGGCGTCGTACTGGCGGAACACGGCGGGCACCGGGCGGCCGGCCGGCGCCGAGACTCAGGGGTCGGCCGGTGGCAGTGGCGACTCTGCGGCCGCCAGCAGCTCGGGCAGCACGGTCACCTGCACCAGGAACACCTGTTCGATGCCCTCGGCGGCCAGCCGGGCGCGCAGCTCGGGGTAGAGCGCCGGCAGATTGGCCGGCGCCGGCCGCCGGTCGCCAATCGGCTGCAGGTGCGCCAGCCAGTCGGGCAGCGCACGCGGTGCACGGTCTGTCGGCTCGAGCGCTCCACCTCGTCCAGCACGGTGAAGTCGTCAGCGGCGGCATCTCTGTCCGACTCGGAGGTGTCCTCACTGTCGTTATTGGCGACGGCGGCTGCCGCTGTGCGCTCAGTCAGGTCGGCCATCACAGCAACACTCGCCGATGATTGGCGTCATCGAAACCGTCGGACGATGGTGGATTCATCACCGTTTTTGCAGCAGAGACTGGTAAAACCTCAGCAATAAACAAGGAAAAACCTCACAACATGCCACAGCCTGCAATTGTGCATATTGTTATTATATTTCTCACATGACAGAAAATATTGGCTGATTTATTCTAGGAACTGGCATGAAAAACATAAGCTAAAATCAAGCTAAGTGAATTATTATTGTATTTCAACATGAGACTGGGAAGAAATCCTTGTCACTGTCAACATGACCAGTGTAACGGATGGGCTGCATGAACATTTCGGCGCATGATCTGAACACTCTGTGAGCAGAAATTTCAGCGCTGAGGTGAACAAATAACATTTCGGCCGCAATTTGCCTGGTGCCTCCACAATTTTGCAAAACTAAATCACAATACTTACAGCCAGTTTTAACATGATCCCTGCATGACTCATGCATGCAAGATACACATGCATTCAATATCAGCACAGTGCACACACAACAGTTATGGATTCATTTACATTTTACAACATTAGGTACTATTATTCTCTTTTCCTTCAATATTGGCAGCATGACTTGCTGAGCTCAGTGGCACAATCTTATGACAGCAAGTTTGTTCGGGTTCGCAACCAATAACCATGCAAACTTTGCACGTTTGGCTTCAAAAACAAGCCTTTATACATTTCTTTCATGCTATTCAATTTCTTCTTTTAAATTTACTGTCATTGATCTTGAAAATCTTGCCATTTTGGTCTTAGCCATGTCCATTGCACCTTCCCTAATCCGCACAGCTCAAGTAAGTTCCACCCAAAAGTAGTAGTGACTAGTGGTATCAGTAGTTGGCGCCTTGCATTGTCAAATGTAGCTGAATATGTGAAAACAGTGACATATTTATTTAAAATCTTGAGTCCAATGAGCCTACCCTCTCTGCCTCTCCTTCCAGCATTTGTTCAAGCACCTTCAATTTTCGAAAATGATCTTCCATCATTATTTTCCACTTCCGTGCGACTCGCAAGAGCAATGAACTTGTAAGCTGACCACTAGTTAATAATGTGCCATCATCTTGCTGTTGGGTGATTGTAGCAAAAAGATAATATAAACGAAAAAAACTAACACCACAACACCAAACACTGTCTTGTTGGTTCCTTTTGGTCCTGCCTGGTGACAAAGGCTCTTTCTTTACGCAATATCATCAGTATTCCTCTTCTAATCTTGAAGCCCAGATGCTTTACAAATTGGCCATGAATCATACTAAATTATTATATCAACTGGGAGGCGCAAATCACGATAATTAGTAACAAATGAGGCCAATTGTTCCGACACGACATCAAAAAAATAGACGGGGTCGCCCGTCTATTTTTTGGGCTGTTTTTCTACAAATAATGGCGCAAAATAACACTCCATTAATGCCGCATTTGCCGTTGGTGAAACTCATTGGCTATTTTTCTGGCTGATATTTTTTCACGCCGGCGGATATTTTTTCGCCTGGTTGGTGAAACTCGTCGGCTGGTTTTTGACAGAAAAATTGCGCCGGGCTGCTATTTTTCTGTTGGTAAAACTGGCCTCTGCTAAAAGTCATTTTTTTTCTAATAGAAGCAATAATTTTAGAGGATAACTTTTAAAGAGGAAAAATATCATGCAATAGTTCCTTTCCATACTATAATCAACAATTTTGCCATTGCACTAACCAAAGAAAAGATATATGGATTTATCTATTTTTTGCACGAATGTGCCCCACTCTCCCCTACTTTCTCATCCTACCTACGTATAACGCACATGGGGGAACGGTCAACGGTGGTTGCGGAATGCGGGGTCATTGGTTACTTTATGTCCCTCTTTACAGACAAGTTACCAGCGTTGGCATTGTGGCCTTTCTCTGGTCCCGGCGAAATTAGTACACTATGTTCATTCATGACTTGAAGATGCGTAATTATAATTAAAACTTTATGTGATTTATCATTTTGATTCTATCCGTATACAAATATCTGAGATGTATCTTTACTCAATAGTAAAAGTAATGTTACGTATTGCATCCTGAACCGGTGAATACATGCAGACAATTTATATCTCACTCAGTTGCACCACGGAAGGGCAGCGAGCCGCGCTCCTGACGGGTCCCGAAGGGCTGAGGCTTCAACGGGAGTAACCATACAATAATGTTTATTCTCCTGGCTCCGCTGTGTCGGGAAATCATTGTTAATTTATTTTCCTCTTCACAGGTGACGAACTGGTGGCGCTACCCGCCTACGGGCGCGGGGCGACGCTGGACGATCTGAAGAACGAGCAGAGCTCCGTGAGTGTTCAGTCGTCCCGCCTCAACGTTCAGAGAGCGAGTTCGAGCTGCCACAGTCGAAGGTCGGTGAAGTTGCCACAATCCTTGCAACTCATGCCGTGTTTTATCTTCCGTTCTGTTGACCATGCAAGTACTCTTCGAGGTGCTCTTCGAGGTGCTCTACAAGAAGGCCCTAAACATCTATTTCACTAAGTAAAGCATCGTAGAAGATAGTGTGCTCCCTGGCTGAGTAGAGTGCAAGATGCGCGTGCGAGAGTACTGGCAATTGCGGTACGCCACTCTTGTCATGTCGGCAGCTCAGATCTAGCACAGACCCACAGACGAAGAGTGTATACTGTATACTGCGTGGTCTGCGTGCGTTTCATGTTTCAAAGTTTTTCATGTTTAAGCGCCAAGAGTACAAAGTACAGGGTGGCGCACGGAAAACCCCCGAATTGAAACTTTAATACCTTCCATGATTATTAACCAAATTTGATGATATTTTCACACAATGTACATACGTAGATACACGTTTGGGATGATATTCATCCAAGTTTTAGACAAATGCATTCACGCTCAGCTGAGTTGTGCACCTTAACGTGACCACTATCGTTTTTCAGTACTTTCTCGAGGCGCTCGCGGTACGCCAGCGCTGCTTTCTAGCGCATCTCGACGGTGATCTCTGCGAAGGCGGCTCTGAGCCGACCGTGTAACTCCGGAATGTTCGCTGTCTGCGTCAAGTATGCCTAAGACTTCACAAACCCCCACATGAAAAAATCACACGCGGGGTGAGGTCGGGCTAGCGCAGTGGCCAGGGCAAATTGGGCGAGTGCGGTGGCCAGGGCAGTTTGGGCGAAGCCCAACCTCACCCCGCGCGTGAATTTTTTCATGTGGGGGTCTGTGAAGTCGTATGCATACTTGACGCAGACGGCGAACATTCCGAAGTTACACGGTCGGCTCAGAGCCGCCTTCGCAGAGATCACCGTCGAGATGCGCTAGAAAGCAGCGCTGGCGTACCGCGAGCGCCTCGAGAAAGTACTGAAAAACGATAGGAGTCACGTCGAGGTGCACAGCACAACTGAGCTGAACGTGAATGGATTTATCTAAAACTTGGAAGAATGTCTTCCCAAACGTGTATCACATTGTATGAAAATATTCAATTTGGCTAACTATGCTGGAAGCTAACTGGGCTAACTATCCCTTAGCCAATTCAAGTTTCAAATCGGGTATTTTACGTGCACACTGCGCAACCCCATGTACATATAGAACAAAGTGATTGGGTGGTTTGTTTGTGATCAAAGTGTCTGTGATATAACGTAATCAAACTCATCGAGATCGAAGCCAGTGATTGTACTGTGATTGAACTATGATCAATACATGATATGTGTTAAACATGATATTTCTTAATTACTATTTGCATTATTAGCAGTCACGTTTTATTGCACCGACTGGCAGACATCACTGTTTTATTTATTGTACATAATTTCGGATCCCTCGTACCGCGCGTTCACAATGCGTATCCTGCCCATAGCGTATCTGACATCTCATGGTTACACGATACTATCCGAAATGGTCATCGCATGCCATCCGTTTGACTTCATCATGAATTTTGGTTCAAAGTATGTATAAGCAGACGATATACCATTACATTGCAGCCTAGACATAGAAATACACCAGAGGGTAAACTGAAACAGTAGCGTATATTTAACTCGGGGTAATTTTACTCCAAGCCTTTTCAGTCATAGAATTATCTTTTTGAGTTTTTGTTTCAACGTGAATTATAATGTGATTTATTTTTACTCCTTCAACTTTTTTTTACTCTGGTGTATTTATGCTATTTACTTTTTTTACACTCAGAAGCAGGGGGTGAAATCCGATTTGATATTATTACACTGGGAGTGCAATATTACTCTCGTAAATCGCATGCTTTATTCGCCTTTACACTGAAAAAAAAATTACACCAGAACTTTGGAGTAAATCTACGGTGCCAAAAAATCCAATAATTTCTGGTGAGTTTTTACTCCAGCGTAAAAACTCGAGTAAACTTACGCCGGAGTAAAAACTCACCAGAAAATATTGGATTTTTTGGCACCGTAGATTTACTCCAAAGTTCTGGTGTAATTTCTTTCTCTTTTCGAAGAATAATTTTACCACCCGTGGTAAAAATAGCAACCATAACTTGCACCAGTGGAAGAGTAATTTTACTACCCATGATATAAATAGTAACCTAATTAGCGTCAAAATACACCCCGTTTGGAGTAAAATTGCACCGTGCCCAAAAACTACACCAGCCCAAAAGGTGTGAAAATAGCACATAAGCAATATAATAAACTTAGCATGTGAGAGTAAATTTACACTAGGGTGTATTTATATCCAAATTATTTTTTACACTCTTGGTGCAAAAATAACAGGGGATGTGAAATAGGTATTGCAGTGGCATCATCCTGCATGGAGGGGCAGAGCGCATCCTTTGGAATGGACCAGTCAGGACATCCAAAAGATGTGCTCATAATCCCCTCCAGGCCTTCGGGATGTGCAACTGCATACCATGCATTACAGAATTCACAGCCCCTGAAATATTATACAAACGTCATTCAAGCAGATACAAGTGATAAAGCGCAGTGCAGGTGAGTGCACGGCGGCACGATCGACAAATTGAATACTATACTATATGAAGACTCTGCGCGTGATTTTTATCGAGTTGCAAAGGAAACAAGTTCAATGAAAGACCGTTTATTCTGAGCTTAATCACATGGTGCACGTAAACTCCTGAAGGTATGTACGTGCGTTATCACAACCATTGCAACGGACTGAAACGGACTCATATGCCGTCTGTGTTTCTATGATATGCTGCGATATGATGCTGCGATAGCATATTCAACAAAAATAAAATATCAGAATAATATTTATCGGAGTAACTTGAGTGATAAGTACATATATATTCAAAAAAAAAAAATGCAAATATTTCGACACACTTTGCGGTACACGGAGAAAAATAATTACTCCCCCCGGGAATCACGATCCCCTATTTGGGAATCAACTGACACCCATGGTGTAATCCGATTCTGAAAAACAGTGTCCATACACCGTTTTTTAGTGTAAATTGATCTCGGTCAGAATAACATACTCAAGGGTCATTTGACTCCCAAAATTTTGACTCCCATTTTAGGTGTCGTGTCAAAAGATCCTGCACGGTGTCAGTGTAAAATAACACATCTAAGCGTTTTTTGACGCTATCATGAGGAGTTTTTTATATCCTATTGGTGTCATTTTACACAGTTGAGCGTTTTCGCAATCCGTGACTCCCTTATTAGGTGTAATTTGATCCTCAGTGGTGTCATAATATTCCGTTCAAATGACTTATTGAGTGTAATTTGACCCTCGGTAGTGTCATAATATTCCGGTGTCATTTGAGCCCCATTGGGTTCAAATGACACCGGAATATTATGGCACCACTGAGGATCAAATTACACCTAATAAGCGAGTCACGGATTACGAAAACGCTCAACTGAGTGAAATGACACCCATAGGGTTCAAAAACTCCACATGATAGTATCAAAAAACACTAAAGTATAACAGAAATTGTTTTGACGTCACTGGTGGTATACCACCATCTCTTGACTCTGCAGTGTTGGTTCCTATATGAACCAACACTGCAGAGTCAAGAGATTTTCGGTGAATCAGACTCCGAATCCAGCTCCGGCTTCCAATATCGACTCCGACTCCGACTACGGCCAGAACTGTCGTTTCCAACCGACTCCGACTACGGCCAGAACTGTCGACTCCAACGGACTCCGACTCTGATTCCGTAACCCTGCCCCTGGTGTAGGTTCAGTGATTTGAATCAATGCCCCGAGTGACGTCATGTGTGAGCTAGCCATGGCTGGTCCGCTACGAAGATGAAATAGGCAATAGCCCAATCAGTAGGCTGCACTGTCAATTTGCGGACGAAGATTTGCGGAAAAAATGCGAGACGAAGAAATGCGGGGACGAAGAAATGTGCGGACGAAGAAATGCGAGACGAAAAAATACGGAGACGAAGAAATGCGAGACGAAGAAATGCGAGACGAAGAAATGCGAGACGAAGACATGCAAGACGAAGACATGCAAGACGAAGACATGCGAGGCGAAGAAATGCGAGACGAAGAAATGCGAGACGAAGAAATGCGAGACGAAGAAATGCGAGACGAAGAAATGCGAGACGAAGAAATGCGAGACGAAGAAGTGCGAGACGAAGAAATGCGAGACAAAGAAATGCGCGGACGAAGAAATGCGAGACGAAGAAATGCAAGACGAAGAAAGGCGGAGACGAAGAAATGCTCGGACGAAGAAATGCGAGACGAAGAAATGCAGGACGAAGAAAGGCGGAGACGAAGAAATGCGCGGACGAAGAAATGCGCGGACGAAGTTTTGCGGACGAAGAATTGCGCGACGAAGAAATGCCATGCAAAGATTTGTCCGGATACGCTGCGGTATCAATTTATTTTTGGTGACCCAGACTCCGATTCCAGCTCCGGCTTCCAAAGTCGACTCCGACTCTGACTCCGGCCACAACTGTCAACTCCACCCGACTCTGACTCTGACTCTGTAACCCTGGTGCGAACCACAGCTCAGGTCCAGTGGTTTGAGTCAATGCCCGGCCAATCAGCAAGCTGCATTGTCGTGTGACGTCATTTGTGTTCTAGCCATGCCGGTCCGCCACGAAGATGAAATAGCTCGACCTTGCAGGAAAACCGTTAGGAAAGCCGTTGACTTCACACGGAGAAAAATAATTACTCCCCCCGGGAATCACGATCCCCTATTTGGGAATCAACTGACACCCATGGTGTAATCCGATTCTGAAAAACGGTGTCCATACACCGTTTTTTAGTGTAAATTGATCTCGGTCAGAATCACATACCCAAGGGTCATTTGACTCCCAAAATTTTGACTCCCATTTTAGGTGTCGTGTCAAAAGATCCTGCAAGGTGTCAGTGTAAAATGACAACATCTAAGCGTTTTTGACGCTATCATGAGGAGTTTTTATATCCTATAGGTGTCATTTCACACAGTTGAGCGTTTTCGCAATCCACTACTCCATTATTAGGTGTAATTTGATCCTCAGTGGTGTCATAATATTCCGTACAAATGACTTATTGAGTGTAAT